TGCAGAGTGTGGAGTGTAAAGTGTGGAGTGTGGAGTGTAAAGTGTAGAGTGTGGAGTGTAAAGTGGGAAGTGTGGATTGTAAAGTGTGGAGTGAGGAGTGTAAAATGTAAAGTGTGGAGTGTGGAGTGTGCAGCGGGTAAAGTGTGGAGTGTAGAGTGTGGATTGTGGAGTGTGGAGTGCAAAGTGTAGACTGTGGAGTGTAAAAGTGTGGAGTGTAAAGTGTGGAGTGCAAAGCGTGGAGTGGAAAGCGTGGAGTGTAAAGTGTGGAGTGTAGAGTGGAAAGTGTAGAGTGTAAAGTGTGGAGTGAGGAGTGTAAAGTGCAAACTGTAAAGTGTGGAGTGTAAAGTGTAGAGTGTGGAGTGAGGAGTGAGGAGTGTGGTGTAAAGTGTAGTGTGTGGAGTGGAAACTGTAGAGTGTGGAGTGCGGAGTGTAAAGTGAGGAGTGTGGAGTGTAAAGTGTGGAGTGCGGAGTGTAAATTGTACAGTGTGGAGTGTAAAGTGGAAAGTGTGGAGTGTAAAGTGTAGCGTGTGGAGTGTGGAGTGAGGAGTGTAAAGTGCGGAGCGAGGAGTGTAACATGTAAAGTGCGGAGTGCGGAGAGAGGAGTTGATAGATAAGATAGATAAAGAAATAAATAATGGAAAACATATATCACACAAAAAGAGGTAGAACTAAATCACCAAGGACCCTAGAATCAAATTCCAAAGACCCCCCATCGGCTGCATATATATATATACATATAGGTAAAATATATTTCATATTTTATCGAAGTACCCAAACCCCAAAAAAACTATCTGAACTACGATCGAATGGCGATCGTTTGTTCTGACTGGCACTTCCACGAATAGAAGGGTAAATGGATGGAGAGACTAATTATCAATCCCCATCTTGGCATGACTACCGAAGGACGGATAAGAATTAACAATATTGAAACATCCAAGGGACACTAACCCAAGACGATCTTTCCTTTGGGATCATTTTCACTAGTATATACCAAGGCCACCTACCTTGATAGATAAGATCGATAAAGAAATAAATAATGGAAAACATATATCACACAATCAGAGGTAGAACTAAATCACCAAGGACCCTAGAATCAAATTCCAAAGACCCCCCATCAGCTGCATATATTGATATGTACAGATAAAATATATTTCATATTTTATCAAAGTACCCAACCCAAAAAAAAAACTATCTGAACTACGATCGAATGGCGATCGTTTGTTCTGACTGGCACTTCCACGAATAGAAGGGTAAATGGATGGAGAGACAAATTATCAATCCCCATCTTGGCATGACTACCGAAGGACGGATAAGAATTAACAATATTGAAACATCCAAGGGACACTAACCCAAGACGATCTTTCCTTTGGGATCATTTTCACTAGTATATACCAAGGCCACCTACCTTGATAGAGAAGATAGATAAAGCAATAAATAATGGATAACATATATCACACAATCAGAGGTAGAGCTAAATCACCAAGGACCCTAGAATCAAATTCCAAAGACCCCCTATCGGCTGCAAAACCTTAGATGCTGGCAAGGGGGGGGCCTGAGAACCCAAAAGCAAAACGACAGCAAAACGAGTGTAAAGTGTAAATTGTGGAGTGAGGAGTGCGGCGTGTAAAGTGTGGAGTGTGGAGTGTGGAGTGGAAAGTGTAGTTTGTGGAGTGTAGAGTGTAAAGTGCGGAGTGTGGTGGAGTGTGGTGGAGTGTGGGGTGTAGAGTGTGGAGTGTGGTGGAGTGTGGGGTGTAGAGTGTGGAGTGTGTAGGAGTGTAAAGTGTGGAGTGCAAAGTTTAAAGTGTGGAGTCCAAAGTGTAAATTGTGGAGTGTAGAGTGTAGAGTGTGAAGGGGGAGTGGAAAGTGCAAAGTGTAGAGTGTGGAGTGAGGAGTGTAAAGTGTAAATTGTGGAGTGAGGAGTGTGGAGTGTATAGTGTGGAGTGTAGAGTGTGGAGTGGAAAGTGTCGAGTGTGGAGTGTGGCGTGTAGAGTTTTAATTTAAAGTGTGGAGTGAGGAGTGTGCAAAGTGTAGAGTGTGGTGGAGTGTAGAGTGTGCAGTGTCGAGTGTAGAGTGCGGAGTGTAGAGTGTAAAGTTCCACCCCTGCCACACAAAACGACATGACAACCTGCTTGGAAACCTTCGAAAAGGAGAGATTTTGCAGCTTCCCCCATAGACACGGCGACGCCACAGGAAAGCCAGACACTTGAGACGAGAGATGTGGGAGCATCAAAACGAGCCTTTCGTGCGAGGCTTCCTCCAATTTTTACACTTTGTAGCTTCAAAATTGACGTTTTCCCACGAGTTTTCGTACGAGCCTTTAAATTTGCTATACCTCAAAATCGATAATTCGTGGGAGGCTTCCGTTAATTTTCAGCACATCTCACAAAATCACGTCTGCCACGGAGTCTGCCACTTGACGGAGCCCTGCCAATGCGATTCGTAAAAGCACGCAACACGACGCGTCTAAAGTGCTGCGCCTGCCACGCAAAATAACGATGGACACGTCCAAGGTGCTGCACCTGCCACGAAAACTGCAACGCATCTTCTGAAAACGTCGTAAAAGTAGTGCGCTTGCCACACAAAATGACTTTCGACACGTTACAAAACACGTCTGAATGTTACGAAGTACCACGCCTGCCACGTGAAACGCAAAAATTACCCCTTCTGGAGAACTTACCAGAGGCACGGCCATATAGCAATCGCGCGGACGGTTGCGAGGGGTTGCGGACGGTTGGGCAACGGGAAGGAACGGAAAGAAAGGGAAAGGAAGGGAAAGAAAAGGAAGGGAAAGGACGGAAAAGGAAGGGAAAGGAAGGGAAAGGACGGGAAAGGAAGGAAAGGAAGGGAAAGGAAGGAAAGGAAGGGAAAGGAAAGGAGAGGTTGATTTGGAAAGCAGCCGCCGTCGCATGACCGTGCTCAAATGAGCTTGCTTGGCTATTGCACACTGTCACTCAATATTTCCGCGCAGAGCTGAAATTTCTTTACTTCGAGTTATCCCCACCATGACATTTATATGTTTTGTTACGAGTGCTGTCACGAAGTGAGAGCACTATCTTTAAAAGAACAGTGCAAAATTCATCAACATAAATTTTGCAACTCAGTGTGAAACAACTAACCTTCTGTTTGGGAAACTTGCATGTTATTTCGTTTGTTCAAACCTCGTTGCAAACCTTTCAAACCTGAAACACAAAACATGTCCCTTGGAACCACACATGAATAAATACTCGTGTGGCGTTTTACATATCAAGGGTGAGGTAGGGAAGGGTTAAAAAACCTTTTCTTCCACCAACCATTTCTTTTCGGCGTACGGGGGACTAATGGATGCAGACCAAATTTCTGGATTATCCAACTACAGCATCATTTCCCTCTTAGTTTTGATTCTGAGAGAAGTTGCTCACCGCCTTGGAGTTCCTGTGGCCCCTGCAGCAGAAGTGCAACAAGCCGTTCAGGACGTCGAGGTGGGACAGCAGCCAATTCAAAACCAGGCTACTTGTTTTCACGTCTGTGGAGTGACGGGGTGCGATCTTTGGTGTCAGCTGGACATCCCTCACACCAGGCATCGCTGTCAGTACCACAGTTGTGACTAGATTTTAGCTCTTGGAATGGTTGTGGAACACAAAGGTTTTAGATGGCGCTGGCAGAATGCTTCAATCAGTGCCGCTGCGTCACATGAGATTCCTGATGATGTTGACATGTCAAATGATGGCAATGAGTGGGAGTCGGTTGAACTGCATGAAAATCCTGATTTCTTCGGTTTGCCGCCTGATGACGTGGATGATGATGCCAATGTTGGTCTTGAGAGTGGACCTATGGTGGTTGAAAAAGGGGCTCGAGTTTTCATGCGCCCTAGACCTAAGACCGCAACGGTCAAGCCTTCTGCAGCGACCTCAGAGAGTGTGTCAGTGAAACGCACTGCAGATGAAATGGCATCCATGCAGGTTCACAAGATAATCTCAGATGTTAAACAACCTTGGCAAGTAGGACCGTTGGCAAGCTTGTTTTCAAAGCCCAAGCCTTTTTGGGAGCAACGACATAGCAGAATGTCTTTGGTTGGACTCTCAGACCACATTGCAGCTTCTTCAACAAGCAGTTCAATTCCGAAACCGATACAACAGACAGAATTGACCGTTCAACGCATTAAGGCTTCCAGGTTGGTTTCCTCTCAGGACGATTACAGACACCTGGCCCTTTCAAGGTTCAAGACCATGGTTTTGTTGGACTTGGATTGCACCAGGCTCGGACAATCACTTCGAAGCTTCGCTGGAACCTTATGCCCAGATGACGAGTTGAGCCAAATTTTTATGGATGTTTTTGCACCAAAGGCAACTGGCACCATCTTGAAGAGGTGTAATGCTTTGTGGCGGTTCTCATGCTGGCTTCAAAATCTAAGCTCTGGCTCACCGTTTTGCCAAGATGAAAAAGTCTTATACAGGTACATCTGTGATTTGCGAGATTCAGGAGCAGGTTCAACAACACCGTCTCAACTTCTCGAAGCTTTGAGGTTTGCCGATACCTTGCTAGGCTTCACACAGGTGAAACTAGATGACATGCTTAGCGCCAGGGTGACGGGAGCCGCCCACTCAGCATACATGACAAAGAGAATTAGAAAGCCAGCTGAAGTGCTTACTGTTGCGGAAATTTCAGCACTGGAGAGCATCTGCATGGCTGACACGCAACTTCACCGTAGGGTCATTGCTGGACACCTTCTTTTCAGTTTTGCTGCTGCAGCACGTTGGCATGATTCGATGTACATTGTCTCATTGGACTCATCGGCTGCTGGTGATATATTCCTTTTGGAGGCCCTGACATCAAAGCACAAGTCATCTCGAGGTAAAGAACAGCAGATGGAGTTGTTACCATTCACAGCCTTGGGAAGAGTCACAGGTGATGACCACTGGGGTCGCTTCTGGATGGATGCGAGACAGGAGTGCAATGCTAATGGCTGGAACCATTTCCTGAACTCATGGTCAGAGAGCACGCACAACTGGGTTGATTCACGTATGTCCACAGCAGAGGCAACTGGCTGGTTGAGGGAGCTGTTAGAACCTCACATTGGCGCCGACCGAGCAGGGGCCTTGACCGTCCATGGACTCAAGGCCACACTTCTTAGCTGGGCAGCTAAGAGCACTCTTTTCAGTGCAGATGAGCAGCTGGCCCTGGGGCATCATGTCCATGCACAATATCGTTCAGCCATGATTTACTCAAGAGACAATCAAATTGGGCTTTGCAAGAAACTGCACGAAATGTTCAATAAAATCAAGGATGGCCTTTTTGATCCAGATGCAGCTCGAGTTAGCAGATTGTTTCAACTGGCTTATGCAACAATGTTGGAATGTCAGGGTGCAGATGATGACAGCGGCTCAGAAGCCGAGTCCGACGCTTCATCGGTGGCGTCTTCAGGTGGAGAACACGACAGTGTGGCTCAGAGGCCAAATTACAAGCGGCTAGAGGCTGATGACATGGAAGCAGATCAGTGCTTGATCAATAGCAATTCAAAAGTTATTCATTTGTTGGCAAGCGAGGATGAAACCTTTTGGTGTGGACGTCACCCATCAGCATCTTTCAGAAAAGCCACAGCTGAAGACCTGACTGCGACCGAGGCAGTGATCTGTGCAAATTGCTCACATGCATACAGAGCGGCAGGGCATGGAGATTGAAAGGCAACATCGAATGGATGGTAGCCATCAACCTTAGCGGCAATGACTCGCCCCGGCAGTGCCCGTTTTGAGATGCGAAACATGATTGCTGCTTTCGTTGTGCGCTCTTTTCCTTTTTCCTTCGTTCATCAGTCATAAGAAGTTTAAATGGAATACCGAACATCATGCATCGACGTTTTCTTTTGGATACTGAACTGAGCGTTTGGCAGTGCATCACACTTGAGTTATGAGATCAGACATTGCGTGGCAACCCAATGCCTAGCATGGCTCCATGCGGCAGAGGTTAACAAGGCCAGGCATCTCAACTCATCCTTTCAGTGTTACATTGCATCGGCTCAGCACCCAGACGTTCCAAACAGACTTCGTCTAAGTTGCACATGTTCGTAAGACTGAGGTGTCATTCACATGTTGCCATGTTCTTGAATTTCAGACCAAGGACAGCACGTTCACCTCTAGGATTCCAAACAATGTTTTTCCTTTGTTTTGTTTCAATACCAAAACGGCGCCTAGTGACTGATGGCGATTGACTCAAAGGTGGCTTTCCAAAACCGTGCAATTGAGCTTGGAATTGAGCAGGATGACGTAGATGTGTTGTCTGACAAAGGTATCAACAGCTATGCTACATATGCTTACTGCTGCACGTTCCAGCCTGGTCAGACCGATGACACTGCATTGACAAACTTCCTTACAACAACTTTGGGTGCAGCTCCAAATGCGGCAGCGATAACAAGATACCGAAGGCTGTTTTTCGAAGCACATGCGCTGTCACTGGAGGACTTGAAATCACGTGCTGATAGGTCTGAATCAAGTGAGGCGAGAATCTTACCGTTGGCTGAGAAAATGGATCGCATCAGGCAACAGAAAGATCGTTTGGTTGGCCTTAGCTTCACCCCTCAAAGTGAACCTTCACACTCCTTGATAGATAAAGTGTGTCAGCAGTTGGAAGATAATGTGGTGACTTACATTGAGCTGAACAAGTGTTCGTCCAGGCATGACGAGGCATTGCATTCCAAGGTTGACACTTCACTTGCGTTGGACAATTCTGGAGGCTTGAGACTGAGCAAGAAACAGCGATTGGATGACGTGAACGTAACAGGTGAACACAAATTAAGGCAGGCCTTTCTCAGACGTGCTTTGGCTTATGATTTAGCAGGAATTGCAACGTTCTCAGCGCTGGACTTGTGGACTCAAAAGTTGTTTGAGAAGATGAATGAGGCGCCGCTCAACAACTACAAGTACATTAGCGTTGAACAAGCCATTAATGCAGATAAGGCCTTGTGGGTCAAAATTTCAAACGACACGCGTGGACAGTTGCAACCTAAGACTGGAGTTGACAAGCCATTCGATGTCTCCTTTATGAAATTTTGTGAACATCCAGAAGTCTTGCAGCACCTCACACCACTACAAGGTCAAGGCGGTTCAAGGGGTGACTTTTCACAGCATGCTGCACCGACTGGCAAAGGAAAGGGTTTTCACCAAGCAGACGGAAAAGGCAAGACATCAAAGGGCAAAGGGAAATCAACACCAGGTATTCAAGTTCCGGATGATTGCGAAATTTTTGTTGATGGAAAGCAGTTGTGCAAACGTTGGCAAGTGGGAAGATGCACAGCCAAAGTTAAGCCAGGCAAGCGTTGCATGGTTGGGTATCACATGTGCTGGAAGAAGGCATGTCACAAGTTGCACCCGGGCAATGAGTGCCCCCACTGACTTGAATTTGACCGGTGCAACAACGGTTTCACTTTGGAGGCCACAACTTTTGAAATTTGTTGTGGCTCAGCAGGTTTGTCAGACGCTTTGAGGCGTCGTGGCTTTCAAGTATATCCAATTGACCACGCTGCAAATCGACACGCGCCAAAGGTCAAAGTTTTCACCTTGGATGTTGCGAATTCAGAACAAGTGGCGCTTCTGGAGACCATGCTGCGCCATTGCAAGCCGTGTCACATCCACCTGGGTTTGCCATGTGGAACTTGCTCAAGGGCCCGAGAGAAACCCATGCCATTGAAATTTGGTGGCCACATGGGCCCACCACCGTTGCGAGACGCTGATCACCTGCTTGGTTTACCAAACCTCAAGGAGGTCGATCAGTTGAAAGTGGACCTTGCCAACAAGTTGTACAAGTGTGCCGTTCGCATCTTAGAAGTTTGCATGGCTTTGGGCTGCATGTTATCAATCGAAAACCCAGCAAGATCTTGGTTGTGGCCTTTGGTGGCACTACTTGTCAAAGCAACTCACAACGCTGACTTCATCAACTGGTTTTCTGACCTTGAGAGCGTTTATTTCGATGCATGTGCGCATGGAAGTGCCAGGGACAAGAGGACCAAACTACTTGCAACACGTGGTTTATTTACAACATTGGAGGCCAGCTGCCCCCAAGACCATGCTCATGCTTCATGGCAGCCTTACAAAACTGAGCAGGGAATTGCGTTTCCCACTGCAGCAGAGGCAGAATATCCGGCCTTGTTATGCAATAGAATGGCCGATTGCGTGTTTCAAATGGCCAAGACCATGGGGATAACACCACAAATCCCCGCTCGGCTAAAAGATTTGCTCAAGCTGCACATGGGACAACAAACAATTCGTCACCAGCCCTTGATCCCAGAGTACAAGACATACGTCCACTCAGACACCCCAGTGTCGGACGAAGCATATAAATTGCTTGCTGCTCCTCCTTCAAATGGGGCAGGAACAACTGAGCAGCTCGACGACCAGGGGACTCCAAATAAAAAGCCCAGAACAACCTTCAAGTACGGTGTGTGGCACAGCCCCGAAGAATTTTTGAATAAAGCGGCAGAGGTTTGCCACCCCATGGACAATGAGTCAGTGCTGCACCCGGTCACAAAGCAGGCCATCCAAAAGGTTGTCCATACATGCCCAACCAAGTTAGCCAAGGAGAGGCTAGCAGCGGTCTTCAAAATGCGGAAAATGTCAACGGAACTGAGCCCGGCTGAGAATGAACTGAAGGATTCCATGCACCCTGACGTGCGTAGATGCGTGCGGACCAAAAACCTTTTGTTGTTTGAGCGCCTCCTCTTGCAGTTTGAGTTTTGGGATATGGATGTTGTGAACCTCTTAAAGCATGGAGTTCCTTTGGTGGGGCTGCAACCGCCGCCCAATGGGTACCAAAAGCAGTTGGTGCCGGCAAGCATGACTGAAGATGAACTTTTCCAATCGGCCATGTGGCGGCGACAGGGCATTATGGCTGGTTCACGATGCTTGACGCAGTTGGAAGAGTCTGCCTTGATCGAGGCTACAGCTGCCGAAGTTGAAAAAGGGTTCCTGCAGGGTCCTTACACTGAAGCTGAGGTGACGGTGCTGCTGGGGACAGAGAGCTGGAGCCTCAACCCCAGATTTGTCCTTTTTCAGGGGGCGAACAACAAGGTGCGAGTCATTGACGACGCGACGCAAAGCAGAGCTCGGTCAACGCTGCTTACAGCTCAACTGTTAAACTTCAACTGCAAGATGTAGACTACGCTGCCGCAATGGTCGTGGAAATGACGCGGGCCTCAACATGTCTTGGTGCAACAACGATGGAGTGGTTTGGCAAAACGTTTGACCTAAGCAAGGCCTACAAGCAGCTGGCAGTGATGCCAGACCACCAGCCTCACGCAGTGGTAGGCTTCCCTGTGAAGGGTACGTGGAGATTCTACAAGAGTATATCACTTCCCTTTGGCTGCACTGGCAGCGTATATGGTTTTGTGCGGGTCTCCCAAGCCATATGGTTCCTGGTTTCAAAGATGCTCTGCTGCATCACTTCGCATTACTTTGACGACTTTCCAACACTCGAGCGTGCAGAGGGGTGCAAAGTTCTAACCCTCGCGTTCAGTGCAGTGTTGGACTTGCTAGGATGGGAGCATGCTAAGGAGGGAGATAAGGCAATCAACTTTGCAAACGTGTTCGACCTCCTTGGAGTGACGTTTGAGCTCGACAAGCTGTCGCGGGGAACTCTCACGATATCCAACAAAGCCAGCCGCATCGAGAAACTTTGCAAGATGTTGGAGGAAGTTGAGAAGTCAAGAACTCTGAAGGCAGCACGGGCCAGTGAGATACAGGGACTCCTTAACTTTGCTGTCAGCTTTTACATGGGCCGCGGTCTCAAGCATCTTGTTTCGTCTTTTATGCCACTTGCAGATGGCCAACGTTTCTCAAACCCTAACGAACTTGCAAGCTTGTGTTCCTACGCAAAGGACATGCTACGCGAGCAAAGACCCAGGGTGCACACCATGTCAAAGCCATGCCAACCTGTTTTGATATTCACTGATGGGGCCTATGAGAATGGCGTAGCCACTGCTGGGGCCCTCGTGATTAGCGGCTCTTCTAGACTGGCATATGTTGTAACAGTCCCTCAAGCGTTGGTTGAACTATGGATCGAAACTGCCGGTGACCAAATCATTTCCCAAATTGAGTTATGGGCTTTGGTTTCTGTCAGGTTTTGCTTGCGCCAGAAACTTCAGGGCAGAAGAGTCATTGAGTGGATAGACAACGAAGCAGCTCGAATGAGTGCAATCAAAGCCAATAGTTCTTCTCCCTCTATGAAAGTCTTGACGCGCATCATGGCTGAACTGGAGCTCCAATGGCCCACCTTTTCTTGGACAGAAAGAGTTTGTTCCTTTTCCAACCCCTCAGACTTGCCGTCTCGTGGAAGGTTGGAAGAGGCCTTGACAAAGTATGACCTCAAAGATGGAGGAACTCTTGATGCTTCACGCGAGCTAACGGACCTGGTCATCGACTTACAAAAATCGCCTTACAAAGCTGCTCTTAGCAATCTGGGGACACCAACTGAGCAACCTTGTGGCGACAACTCACAAATGTGAGATTCACACAAAAAGACAGATCCCTCTAACTGTCTTCAACCCATGCTCAGCAAAACATATGGTGCTAACGCCCCAGACACTCAGAGCGCGAGGAAAACAGGCAGCTTTCAATCCGTGCGTCAGCCATCATTTTTCATTTCAGATTTCATGCTGTGTTTTTGAATTTTCCACGTTCCGACCGCGTATGTTTCAACGGAGACTTTTGGTCTCATTTATATTATATGTATATACCACGGCGTATAAACATATTCACGTTGTTTTAGTACTACCTTCGACGATTGCGTTGCAACTTGTCATTATAACATGCGACCCATGTTCCTTCACCTGAGTTTGTTCTTATTTAAGATGAGTGCTGTCACGAAGTGAGAGCACTATCTTTAAAAGAACAGTGCAAAATTCATCAACATAAATTTTGCAACTCAGTGTGAAACAACTAACCTTCTGTTTGGGAAACTTGCATGTTATTTCGTTTGTTCAAACCTCGTTGCAAACCTTTCAAACCTGAAACACAAAACATGTCCCTTGGAACCACACATGAATAAATACTCGTGTGGCGTTTTACATATCAAGGGTGAGGTAGGGAAGGGTTAAAAAACCTTTTCTTCCACCAACCATTTCTTTTCGGCCCACCCTCCCAAACCCTTATTGGGGGGGGGGACACCAACTGAGCAACCTTGTGGCGACAACTCACAAATGTGAGACTCACACAAAAAGACAGATCCCTCTAACTGTCTTCAACCCATGCTCAGCAAAACATATGGTGCTAACGCCCCAGACACTCAGAGCGCGAGGAAAACAGGCAGCTTTCAATCCGTGCGTCAGCCATCATTTTTCATTTCAGATTTCATGCTGTGTTTTTGAATTTTCCACGTTCCGACCGCGTATGTTTCAACGGAGACTTTTGGTCTCATTTATATTATATGTATATACCACGGCGTATAAACATATTCACGTTGTTTTAGTACTACCTTCGACGATTGCGTTGCAACTTGTCATTATAACATGCGACCCATGTTCCTTCACCTGAGTTTGTTCTTATATAAGATTGGCAAATCTTCTGGCATTCTATCTGACATATCTTCTGGTATTTTATCTAGCATATCTTCTGGCATATCTTCTGGCATTCTACCTGGCATATCTTCTGCAATATGTTCTGGCATATCTTCTGGCATTCTATCTGACATATCCTCTAACACACTCTATCTGGCATATCTTCTGGTATTCTATCTGGCCGTTGAGGTCTAGCAGTGCACACTGAGCTGGGAAGGTCCCAGGTTGAGGTCCAGCGGTGCACACTGAGCTGGGAAGGTGCCAGGTTGAGGTCCAGCGGTGCACACTGAGCTGGGAAGTTGGCAAAGAGCTTGGCGAAGAGTTGGAAGGCGGAAGTTGAGGTGGAAGTTGATGCAAACATGATCGAGGAGAAACTGGAGGAGGAGGCAGAGGAGGAGGAGAAGGCGGAGGACGAGGAGGAGGAGGACGAGGATGAGGAGGACAGCTAGCCGAGGAGAACAACTCTGATAGAATTTAACAACCCTCACCTGGCAGGTGGGGAAAAATGAAATTTGCAGTGAATGCGTCCATAATGTTCATCTTCTAAAAAGAAGCTGACAAGAGGCGAAAAAGAAATAAACCAATTATCAGTATTATTCAAATTTGTTTGCTGTCGTTTTGCTTTTGGGTCCTCAGGCCCCCCCTTGTTTGCAAAAGAACAGCTCGTAGCCCTTCAAGACTGGTATGTTGCTTCCGGCCAGCGCCTGGATCCCATCGATGCGACCGTTCAGGGGCAGAAAGGCCCGGTCCCAGGGACCTTCTTCCTACACACAATGTGGATGTTCGGATGTACCAAGCCTACCAGAGAGGTTACCGCTGTCGCACAAACCCCCCGTGCAGATACCACCTGGGATTAGGCATCTATAATGTCCAAACGGCAGTTGAAGGAATGGATGGCAACAAAAGATCACATATCTTGCATTTGTGCGGCCAGTTGCTACGCCTAGTGCTAATTCCATGTCACGTGGAGGGTGAGCTTCACCCATGGACCCGCTCCACTGCACTATCCTTTGCCGCTGAGCTCGACGGACATGTCTTGGGCACACTCTGCGCAGTGACAATGGCGTTGCTCACCAATCGGCTAGACCTGTGTATCCAAGGACTATTCGGCGCAGGCAAGTCAAAATCGATGGCAATCCTCATCCTGGCCTTGATTGAAATCGATGTTACTGACAGCCTCAAAATATTATTCATCTGTAAAGAGAACTCCGGTACCAGATCCTTTGCTGACCTCCTCCTATGGCTCGACCCCCCGTCGGGGGTGTTTGGGCGCATAGGTAGGTTAGTGGGAGACCAAGAACGCAACAAGAGTAGTTACTCCCACACGAAATTCGACATACACCCGAGAGAAAGAAGGCAAATGCTGAATAAGTGTCAGTTAATTTTAGCCACCGGAGGGACGGTAGCCCAGGATCTTACCATGCAATGGTCCACAATGGGTGGCTTCATGCAAGAGCTCTCCCTCTTGGTCATTGATGAAGGCCAGCAATATGGTACTGACCGAGAAATTGCAGTCATCAGCCTGCTGAGACAACAACCCCTGGTCTTGTGGACAGGAGACTCTGAGCAGACACCCGGCGGCATTGATCGTGCAGCCCGTAACGCGAAAAGATCACGACAGCTCCTGTTGGCCAAGAAGCATGGGCTGCGAAGCGACCGCAATTATTACATGCCAGCTAACCTTGCAGATGCAATGATCCGACTGCTGGACGGTTCGGCCAATGAAGGTTTAGCGGCTCTCAGTCAAATCCTCAAACGAGGCCAGCCCACGTTAGGTCAGCTATGGACAAACCATCTCTCGCCGCAAGATGCGGAAGACCTCAGGGCAGCCAGCACTGTTCTTCCAGGCCTGAGAGCCCAATTTGAAGCCGCCCAGCCGCATATGCAACGGCACTCCCGTTTTGTGGACGCAGAACTGCTGGCAGGTACAACCATTAACTTTCCACGGTCCCTTGTGCGCCTCGCCTGGATCTTGCAGCACGCCGCTACCCTCCTCCCCATGGCTGGAGACATACAAGCAGTTTTAAATTCCCAGACCGCCGGAGTGAGTGACATCCATGCCTGGGGGTTAATGCTCCCATCCAGCTCTAGGGTTAGTCCTGTGACATACCACGCCGTGGTTGCAGTTAGATATCCTGATCTCTGCAGGCAGATCAATGGCCTATGGGAACTGGGAAGTTTTGCCTCGGGAGGACTCCCTGACAAGCCACCAGGGTTCCAATTAGTGCTTTGGGATACTAATGCTAGGATTAACGGGCTGGTAGCAAGTTAACTGTACTTGTTCAGTAATGTTTAGTGGGGGTACTTCGTTAGATTGATCTGATATCCCCTAAACATTTTGGCTCAAGGTGGCATTCATTGCATTAGCGTTCATAGCGTCATTGTTTGCTTGATTTTTTCTAGCCAGCTAATTTTGCACTTGGCATGGCGATATGGATCTGTGGTTGTGGGACATGCGTTTTTTGCAAGTTTGGTTTTGATATCATACTTCTTGCTTTTATTTCACAGATCATTTCTCGGACGTTCAATTTTAGGGATTCTGGGACACTTGTCCACATCACGGGCGTTTCCAGTGCAATGGCATGAGGAGATCGGCGATTGCGC